CTGGACCCATAGCATAATCAGACATATGTTGGGTGCTGTATGAAACTTCAGAAACCATCCAGACCAGGGGTTTTTAAACAAGGACACCCGCACGTTCTGCAGAGGCCGGCAGAGGAATGCGGAGTGCATAGGGGGCACTCTGGGTCTTCTCCACAGTTCTTCAAGCAGCTCTGCCCCCCTTTGATCTGCGGGACGCGCTGGGGTTCTGCACGGGAGTGCACGTGAACAAAGCATGTCATGTGGCTAAGGGTTCTGGACACAGGCAGACCTCGGCTCACATCCTGGCTCTGCCACTGAGTCACTCTATCAGCTCTTCAAATGCTCCACCCATGAAGAGGGAATAACAACACCTTTCTTGGGACAATTAATGGGATGACATGGACAAGGTCCTTGCATAGTGCCTGGCACACAGCAAGCTCGGGGTAAGTGACACCTACTATGGCTGGCCACATTCCTAGCCCTAAGAGACACTCCCAGTTTTCTGCCCCCTTTACTCCACCACCAAAAAAGGAGAGAACTTCTGTGAAAGAGGACAGGGACACGAGGACACAACTTGGCCAGGGGCTGAGGGTGGAGCTCCTGGGAGGAGAAACAGAGGTGAAGCATGTCTTTCCGAATAATGGGATTTTGGGGTTCTTCGTTTTCCCCTCTCTTGCCCTCTTGGTCCTTCATTTTATCTGAGGGTGCTTCTCACTCCTGGAACTCCTGCCACAGCTATGGCGACATATCAGAGTCTCCTTCCTTTTGGGAGCAGGGGCCCAGCTCCCCAACCCCTTGAGACAAAGTAAGAGCTTGGGTGGGACCCAGGTACTTGACTCTAGGTGAAGACCCTCCCTACCCCCCATTTTACACACAGACCTGCCCATTTCTCCAGGGAGGAGAAGTCCATTGTGGTTGGGGACTGATGCCCCAACTTGTAAAAGTGTGAGTCCTCTTTGGGGAGACTCTGGGGGCCCCAGTGGGGGCAGCTCCCATCAAGAAAGCCACCGAAAAGAGATTCAAAAACTCAGAGATCTCCACCCTGCTCAACTGGCAGGGCTACCACACCGTGTGCTTCATCTCCTGAAGGTTGTCTAATTGAGCTGAATATTGAAAAGAGTAACTAGAACAGGGCTTGGCACATACGTAATTGGAACGCGATAAATATGTGTTGAATGAATAAATGAATGAGACTGAACACCTGAAAAATAAACGTTTCAAATGTAGATACTATGATAGAAAATCTAAACCCAAATCCAATGCGTAAAAAGAGACTCCATTTAATATTTGTATTAACTATTATTATGAAAAAATTAATTGTCTTATTAAAATACTCTATGAAAGCACCCTGCTACCAGCTAAGGTCTCCTCGATGCACCTTGACTTAGCCTGGCTCAACACGGCCCCCAGGGGAGAAAGATCTGTGACAGGTGCCCTGGGTTCACTCCAGCTTCTGCTATTCATGAGCAAGTCACTTAACTGAACTTTGGTTCCGTTATGGGAATGGTAACGTGTGCCCTACCTCCCTCACAGGTATGCTGTGAGAATCCTGAGAAAACAGCTGTGAAAGCACTTTCTAAACTATAAAGTGCAACACTCAAAGTCTCATTATAATACTTGTTGTTCTGCCCAGGTTCACTCACTCTTCCCATCTAGAATCTTCTCCACCTCCCCTCTGCCTTTGCAAGTCTTTCCCACAGTTCAAGATCTGGAGGCTTCGCAGAGCTCTCCACTCTCCCCTTCCAACTCTCCATTTGCCGTTGCCTTGATCATTCGCATCTGTCATTTAAGTACTGTTCACACAGACAGGCAATACAGTGGGGTGTTCAAAGCTGGGCAGACCGGCACTGGAACCCCACCTGGGTGGCACTTGCTCCTTGGGAGATCTTTGGCAGGTTACCTTAACATCTCTAGCCTCATCTACAAAATGGGGAAGATGATAATTCGTACAGATTTGCTGTGAGGAGCAAAGTACTCAACTCAGTGCCTTGCACACAGTTAGTGCTCAAACAACTGTAACTGTTATGATTCCTGATTTTTTAAAGAAAGTAAAGAGATGGATTCGCTATGCTGCTCAGGCTGGTCTCCAACTCCTGGCCTCAAATGATCCTCCTGCTTCCGCCTCCCAAAGTGCTGGGATTACAGGTGTGAGCCCCCATGCCTGGCCCTGATTGCTGAATACTGCTCCCTAACCATTTCCTATCTCCCCAACAACTGGGTTTTTATTCTTGAAAGCACGGTCCCTTCCTATCCATTTTTGTCACTATCTCTGACCTCACTCTTGTTCCAGAAAAATGCTGAGTTCATAATATTTTCTCACAATGATACTCGTTGAATTGATTAAAATGAATTGTTTTCCTCTAAACAGTGCTCGAATTTTTATTGTAGTCCTATCTAGGCCAGCTTCAGAAAGTCAATGTCCAAGCCTCCAAAAGAGGCTAAAGTAACCTCTTTTGACCCTATTATCAAATTAAAAATGTGTGAGGAATTCCCAAAGCACTCAGCCAAGCCACTCACACTACTGCACTGCCCTATCATGCCCTATCATGCTACAAGAGTTAACAGCCTAAAAATATCCCAGAGAAATAGATTTGATGTGGGGACCTCCACCAAATCCTGGAATACTCTCTTTCCCCCTAGGCCATAAACTTTAATCTTATAGATGCAGATGGTATCGAAGATAACACGTATGTTTGAATACAGAAAATCCTATATAACATCCTCAGGACCATATGTTAGTACTTCCTTATAGGTGACAGGTGACACAGTTCTTATATTTTGATATGAAACTCCTGGCCTCATAAGCTTCACAAAGGATTCTACACCATAATAAGTAATATATTATGGATAGACTAGCAATTTACAAAATAAATATGATTTAAATCTATGTTTTGAGAAGAGTAACTATAAATGTAACACTGTCAACAAAAAAATTCTTATTTTCATCAGTAACTATTCCCATTTGTTCTAGAAATCATGTTTATATAATCCCTTCTACCATTTTTTTTTTAGCCGACCTGGAGACCACAAAGTAAAAATGTTCTTTCGGAACCCACCACATTGGACTGTCCCTAGAGTAGGCAAAAGGCTGAGAAATACCCCCCGGCACACTCCCGGGCTGTGCGGTCTTCTGTCTCTTGATGCTCAAGGCCACCTTAACCAACCATTTTGAAAGCGTATCCCAAGCCTGGTCTTTCAGTGGTTTTTCTAGTATCTTCTTCCACCTGGACGAGGAAAAAGGAAAGCAGCGATGGCTGCCATCTCTGAGAGTTCCCAATTCACTGAATCCTGAGTTCCAGCACCCTCCTGTTCCTCAGCGTCCCCTCTGTCATCCTCAAAGTTCACTGCCTTCAACGCGTCCTTCCCACTTCCCAAGCGCACAGCAGAAGGAGGGGAAAGCCTGCCTCGCTGGAGAACTCAATCAAGGACATGATGTTCCATTTGTATGGCAAGCGTGCCTTTTCTACTAAAGGGCAAATTCTTGATTTCGAATGGCCGTAACGAGTGGTGCTCAGATACAGAATTCCAAATGACCAAGTTTAGAAAACTGAAAATACAGAATTCCAACCGATTAAGCTTAGGAAACTAAAAAGAGTGCAATCCCAGAATATTCTCTTTCTGGGCCACAGCATTTCACTTGATTGTTAACCTTTTGGCTTGTAGTTCTCTTAACAGTAAACAGGTGCTGGGAGTAGTGCTTGCCTCAGTGATATTCTTTCCCTTAGTGGAAAGATCCATGAGCCTTCAAGGATTGTTTTGTGTAAGAAATGCTGACATTTCCCTCCTGTTTTACCTCTTTGAGTATGTATTTGATTTCTTCCCAGTCCTTTGCAACCCACCCTTTCTCTCCCTCAAAGCAAAACAGAGAGACCCTGGTGAGAGCAGATGATATACCCTCTGCTTTCATGATGTTTTAATTTGAAAAACGACCCACACTAGGTCTGAGCAGCAGTGCTGCTGCCTGAAGTCTCTGTGACGGGGCAATTCTGGCCCTTACTTCCTCTCATGTTCTGCCTCTCTGTTGCGCAGCACCTGGCCCTCACTCTACCACCTGGGGTTGCAGAGGTGCCCAGGATGGGCAAGGCTGAAGCCAAATGCCACCACCTACTCTCCACACTGACTTTACCAGTACTCCACTCTTGAAGGCAAAGTTCTCAATGGATTAGGATTTCATTTTTGACTCATCCTTCCTGTATAGTATTTGTACCAACACAACAAACGGAAAGGGTGGCAATGTCTGTGGCTACCCGCCTATCCACTGTGAAACTACGCTTGTCAGAAGGTCTTGGAGATGCTGCTTTGGCTCTGCTAGTCCCCGAGGTGAGCTGGGAACCAGGATGGCAAAAGGAAAGCATGGCTATTCCCCCTGCCCCAAAATGTTGGTGTGCAAGGAACACAAAGCCAGAAAAACGAGGAGTTGCTCAATGATAATGAGCACTATCAAAAAGTAGTTAGGCAGACAATCACACTTTTATTTTCCTTACACTTTTTGACTGTAGATTTAATTTAATTTTGTCATGGCAGGATTAGCAACCAGGCCACAGAGGTGAAGGGACATTATAATAAGACAGCACATTAATCCTCTATCCCACCCAAGGCAGAAGCAAAACCAAACAAATAGCAGCTTCCTGGAAATTGAATTTCTGTTATCCAGATGTCAAAGATGTAATACCCCAATTACACAAACTATTGCCAGTGAAGCATGCCAGCGAATATGCAATGTAAATGGGGTGAGCGGAGCGACAAAACTGCCCAGTCAGCATCTGGCTCTGTGAGTGAGTGATAATTAGCACTGTGTGTAGACACTAATAAACATTTATGTCTGAAATTACAACTTTTAGCAATGTTAATAAGGGATATATTGGCGATCTGTAAAATAAAAGGTCTTGAAAAGAATGTCATACATTAAGCAATGGCAGACATTTCCCGTTCTTGCACAATCTTTTTTTTTTTTTTTCTTTTCCCTAATTGCAAATGGCCACGCTGTTTTTGCTGAGAAATTAATTGACATAGGAACCTACCTAAAAAAATGGGTTGTGTCTCTTTGGCTTCCCCATTAACATCGTTGCTGAATTCTGAGACCTTATATACCTCATGGTGATAATCTGGCACGAGAAAACAACGAAAAATTAGAATTCTAATGACCTCAAGTTAGGAATAAGCAATAAAGACTAGAATCTCATCCTCTATAGTATGTATAATCTATAATTTATAAATTTACTTTTTGAGAACTCAGTTATTCACAGAATTTGCAGTCAATAATCCCTAAAACTTTGCATACTCTGAAGTACACCAACTTGAAGTACTACTTTGACTTTAAAAAACAGCTTTGCTTGATCACACAGTTTTCACGGTAAATTGTGCCCACAGATGCCAATTATTCAACCCTTTTCTTTGAGATGGCAAGTATGTCTGCAGGGAAAAGAAAAATATTGCCCAATCATAGACTAGAGGAGGTTTCCAAATTTATCTCCGCAGCCCATTTTCATGAGCGTATCAATAATATGCATTAGAGTTAGCCAGCACTCTAGTTATCTCAGTTTACCCAGAAAAATCTCAGCCTTTAAGCAGTTTAAAGGCAAGCACACATGAAAAATACCAATTTGTTATTTCAAATATGGTATAATTTGGACAGGAAAGCAAGATTTTCGTCTTTCACACAAGTGATTCTTTTGCATTCAGCCACTGCATTTTATTTAATATGCAATAGTTTATTTTCTAAAAATTTACCTGCAGAACAGAAAGAAGAATCAGAGCCATAATTTTAAAAAAAAAGAAAAGGAAAAACTTGCTATGTCAGTCAAAGTTTAAAATACAATGGTTTATCAGCTTCTCTATGGAAGCTACTGTGCTTTGACAATTTTCTGTTTCTGAAAACTAGGATCACCTAGGTATGAAACCAGAGGTTCCTTCCTAACAGCTATTCCCTTCTTTTGGCCTTAGACCTCACAGGGCAATGTCAACAGAACTACTCTCACTTTTCAGATAAAGTAGTAAGTTCTCTGAGGTCATAAGTAAGAAAGCAGCCTACATTCCTGAATGAATCAGATAGCACCAACATGGCAGTCACCCAGGGAAACACTTTTAAAGTACAAATAACTGAGTGATCAACATGGATGTGCAAAAAAATTTACACAGAAAGAGGGAAGAGCCAACTATCTTGAATATGTAAAACTATTTCAGGCCTCTCTGATTAAACAGTATCCAAACTAAATTATAGGAAGCAGATAAGCATAGACCTTCAAAATGTCTAGAATGAAACCATTGTCAGACCACCAAATCCACATCGCAGCTTAGCTTAGTTTGAAAAACTCGATTACGTGCAATTGTCCTCTAATTTTCACCAGTTTACATGTGACTTCTGCAGGTTGTTGAAACAGTGGCGGTGTTCTCTACTCTGATGCCAATGCTAGATAAAACAGGAAACGTGGACAGGTTCTCTGGTTTGGCTTTGACCTCAAATTGACTCACGGACGACAAACAGATTGGGTCTAAACTCAGTATTAGGACTTGTGACACTACCATGAAAAAAAGTCACCTGCCCCTAATTTAAGGTGACACAATGCATTTTGACATATTTGCTCGACTGCTCTTACTACCTTGAGTTCTCATTTTTTAAAAAGCCAAATCTGGAAGATACAGAACAAGTAACTGAACACAGACAAGACCGTATTCAACTTTCCCCTCCCCTGGCAAAATAAAAGCCCAAAGAGTGTGGCGTACACCTGTTAAATCGTCAGGAACTAGCTGGATTTTTTTTTTTTTTAATGGTACTTATCTGACTGCTGTGTGATCTAGCCTAAAACCCCTTTCTAACCCAAACCAGCCAGCCAGAAAAGATGTTGGATGTCAACAATCCTGCTTTGGGCTTGGACACCTAATGAGCTTCTTTCTCCTTCTTAAAAAGAACAACGATTATCTCTTTTTCCCTTCTCTTTGGGGGAAAAAAAACCAAAACAAAAACAACAAATCATTGGTGCGATGGTCCACCCTCGGCCTGACGGCCAGGCGGTGCGCGGCCACCCCAGCCCGGCCCGGTGGCACCCCAAGGAGGGCTCGGGCCCCCCGCTGTCATTGTTTGCTAATTTCCTGAGGTGCCCTCCGACTTGTTTACGTTAAATAACAGCCTGCCTCCCCCCGCACAACTTTCCCCGCGCCCGGCGTGCGCGGCCGCGGGCCTCTCTGCCCGGGGACACCGGGGGTCCGGGAGGGCGCGCCCCACGGCGTGGCCCCCCACGGGCGGCCGGGGAGCGGGGCCGAGGGCGCGGCGCCCGCTCTTTCCTCCCGCCGCCCCCGCCGGCCGCTTACCTCGGCTCACCAGTTTGAAGCTCTGGGATTTCCTGCTTCTTTTCCTCTCGGAGAACTCCATGGTGCGGGAAGGCGGCGGCGGCGGCGGGGGCTGCGGCGGCGGGGCTGAGGCGGCGGCGGCGCGGGCTCGTGTCACCGCCGCGGAGCCGCCGGGACCAAGGTCCGCGTCTCGCCTGGGCGGGGGGAGGCCGCGGGACGGGAGGAACCACCGCGAGCCGCTCGGGCGCTGCAGGCGCGGGGCCCGGCGGCGCGGGCTCCCGGGCGAAGTTGCCCCCGCGCGGCGCCGCCCCCCCGGAGCCCTAGGCGCCCCCCCGGGCCCCGCTCATGCCGGCTGGCTCCTTCCCAGC